TACAAGGTCCCTTCCGACCTGACTTCTATGATTCTATGACTTGCACCAGTTGGATTTTTACATATTTTTAGCACTTAGAGGTAAAGTCCTTAACTTCAAATTGACTGAGCAGTTTGGTGGGGGAGCAGGATACCAAAGAGAGAGCCCATCCTATTCTTCTGCATCTAAGGCTAGTTCCTGTAAGTAACCCTGTGTGTGGTAATAATCTAGGAGTGAGAAGCCCATGGTCTAATGCAGGGGTGTCCAAACCATTTTCCCCAACAGGTCAGATCAAGACTTCAGGACTTCTTGGGGCCAGACAACCCACCTCCAGTAGAGGGGCAGCAGCTTGTCACCCAGGAGATGAATGCTGCTGCCACTCACCCCCTTCCCCTGCTGCCACTCTTAGTTGCCAGTGGTAACAAAGACCCCAAACTGGCAGGGGGCAAGAGGATTGAGGGAGGAAGGCAGCAGCAGCGTTCAGCCACTCTGTTTCAGAGCTTGCACCAGCAAGCCCCACAGGCTGCTAGTTCGGCAGCCCTGCTCTGGGTATGTACATGGCTCAGTTCCCTGCAGTATCATTCGTGGCCTTTATCTTCCTATGTTCCCAGGAGGCAGGCAAGTGGTATCTCCATTTCACCCATGCAGGGGCATGTGAAATGTCTGAATGGAGCAAGGTGCTGAGTCCATATCCTGGTGCTCAGGGGACAGTGCAATGACCTTTGGCTAGAACAGCTCTGTTGGACAGGAGGTAGCTTATGCAGACAGTTGTGCCAGCAAAGGCCCCTTTTGATGGATGCCATTATACCAGGAAACAGGCACTTGGGCCAGCCCAGGTTTATGTTGTTTGTGGGACTCAGACAAAGCTGTGCTGACAGAAGTAGCATATGGCCGGTATCAGTCGTGTCCACGCTAGGAGCCCTGAGGGGGCCCACAGGACCCTGGGCTATGGTGCTGGCAAAGCACTCCAAGACGACAGCCTGTGTCTGCGTGGAAGTGCTGTGCTGCCTGAGGATACCTGGGTGCTAGAGGCCTACTGAGCACCCCCTGGCCAGATGCATCTCCTGGAAAGTCCCGGCTTTGCACCAGCCTAGGAAAACAAACTAAGAAAGTCAAAGCACCAGTTTACTCACATAACTGTCTGCACTAGGGGTTTTGGCTGGCACAGTAATGATATCAAGGATTGCTCTTCTTCAGTGTCCAGCCAACACAGCTGTACCTCAGTCCTCAGTTCAGTGCCCTGTTCTCCAGATCAGGAATACCACAGCTTGATGACAGGGCAGACTGACCTGGTCTTCAGAGTACCAAGCTGGAGCCATGCCAGCCAAGCTCTGTCCCTTGTGACCTTGGATAAGTTGCTTCCTCTCCATGGGCTTCACACGCCCACCTGGATGATGATACTCCCTTCCTGTAAAGCAGTGGTGACAAACCAGGCTCACGGGCTGGATCCAGCCTACAGAGCCACACTATTTGGCCTGCCAGGACAGGCCAGGAAACATGGTAGCAGGGGCACAGCCTGCCACAGACTCTGTGGCCCTGTTGGACATAACCATTGGTGACCAAGAGTTAGCAAGGGCTGCGCTGACAGCCCTGCTTGTTCTACAGCTCCCAACCACTTCCCACATTGCTGCGGCAGCCCTTGGCTCCATCGTCACTGCCTCTCTGGCAGCTGTCACTTGCCCCATGGATCTGGCGTGCAAGGAACCCCACAGTCCAGATCCAGTCTGATGCATGGGGTGAGTTTGGCACTCCTTCTGTAAAGCACATCTGTGAGGAGTGCCATTCAGTCAGGGCAGCCTGAGAGCAAGCAGTAGCTGAAGGGGAGGAAGGTTTTCTGGGAGAATGTGGTTAAAAGAAAAGAAAGAGACACTAGCCAGGAAAGAGGGGGCCCTGAAAGGAGGTTTGGGAGAAAGAGCAGTGTGGCAAAGCTGGAACTCC